CAAAGTTTCTGACAATGACAGGAATTCTGCATTTCCTACGATATATACAACGTGTGAAGAGATATAATATGTCCCCTGTGAAGCAGTACAGCTGCTGTCTCTCCATAAAGTGCCAATTACGGCACAGTCGGAGCACCTGCATCCAATACCCAGGCTCTTAATACAATAGCAGAAAGAAAAAAAGTTTGTAATTCAGGTTTCCCTTTCCACAGAACATCCAAAACTAATAAGATATATAAACAAAAACATTCCATGAGGCCAAGGAGAAAAATGAAAATCTGGTCACCAGAGGACAAGTATAAAATGTAACTGACTCATTTTAACAACTCAGGCAGATTTCATGTTATTCCTTGCCCACTTCTTCCTTCCTCTGAAGAAGTTCATTTTAAGCAAAAAAACCAAAACAAACCACAACAAAAAACTTAAATGAGACAAGATAAATTCAACCCCCCAGATTTAAAATTTATACCCAAACAAATAACAAACTCAACATATTATTCCAGTGACATTGCAGCAAAGATTTTGTGGGGTGGGAGTGGGCATTGGGGTCCAGTCTTGTATTTTCTTTCAGGGCAGTCAATTCACATGGGATTCCCAGTTTAAAAAACTGCAAGTAAATAACATCACATGAAATTAAAGCATAGAGAAAGCAAGTAAATGATAAAAATATCTGCTCATTTTTATACCAAGTATGGACACTCCACCAAGTGCCAGTGTACCCCAGCATTCATTTGATGCATTTTAAATGCAACAGTTTTTTGGTTTTTTTTTACCCTGACATAAATAAGTCTATATATGTCATATATATAAGTCTATAATAAATAAACCAAGCATGCTTATTTTAAAAACTGAGAAAGATCAGCAAATAAAAATGCCCAAGGAGACCACTGCTCCTAAGGTTTGTTACTGCCAGAGCTACGAGGAGTACGAGTGAAATTTCAGTCCTCAGCAGTGGGTTTGAAAGGCAACAGCCTTGATCCAGAACAGGAATAAAGAGGTCACAGCTTTCCAAACAAAGCCGGAATTCATTTCAGCATGTGCACGCACACGCCACCGCACAGGTCAGCATTTAATTGAAACAATGTTTTACATTAAAACAATAATAAAAAACAGATTGAAAAAGAAAGCATGATTCTTCCTGTTTCCTCCTGTTATCATAATCATTCTTTCCTGCACTTCAGATTGACCTCTAACAAGAGAGGGGATGGGGGGGGCCTCAGTAACAGGAGAAGGATACAGCCAGGGGCTTGCCATAGGCAGGAAAACACATCCATGTCTTGAGACGCTGAAGGATGGATTTAATATAAGGAAATGCAAGGTAGGATGCAAACCCTGCTGCCAGAAGCAGTGCAGAGGCAAAGGAGGTAGAACCCTACAGCAAAGCCACGTTCACCACTGCACAAGTTCTAATGCAGATACAGACAGGATCACCTCCGAAAACATCAGGCACCTCCTGGGTGTCTTCCACATGGGAATGTTTTGGGCTGAGCATAATGTCACTGCTGTGAACTGACTCTGAGCTCAGCATTTGTTTCAGCTCTGCTTGCTGCTTTTCAGATGTTACTCCATTCCTCGGGGTTAATGAGTACCAATAAACCCTTTTGGCAGAGCCTGGAAGGGGGCTCTGAAGCGGGTGACTGGGTTTTCCCTGTTTTATTCCAGTCCTGCACAAGGGGAGGAAGGACTGAAGTGCAGTTATCCTGCTGAAGGGTCAGTGGGACTTCACACAGGCACAGGGATACATATTTTGAGCAAAAGGATAGTGAACAACACAGATCCTCAGTGAAGCAGCAGTGGAAAATCCTGGTTTAAACAAACAAACAAAACAAAAAAAAAAAAAAGGAAAAAAAAAGAAAAAAAAAAAAAGCAGCATAATAAGGCATGCATGATTACAAACAATGGAAAATAAACATCTTGTTCCAGCCCAGCAACTGTGTGCTCTACCTCACCAACTCATCCTGTCTGTCTAGAACAGAGGAAACCAACAGGACAAAGAGGAAAAATCCAGCAGAACGCCCTGTCCTGGTACAGATGGTCTTTCTTTGGTGCCAGGCTATGCGCAAGGTCGATAGCATTGTTTGCCTGTAAGATTTTCTTGCTCATAGCTTGGCTAAGTTTTGGCACATTAGGTCATAATAACAAATATCTGAGCCTAAAAATAGACCCTACGACACTGCTATATTTGTCAGAGTCTGTGTATAATTACACATCACTGTAAATAATAGGAAGCAGCC